AGCTGAGGATGCAAAATGCCTGTGTCCAGTCATACTCCTAAGGGATAGCTGGGAGATTTTCAAGTGAAAGCCTGCAGTGTGTATGAAAAGTCTGATACGGAGTTACAACAATACATGGTTAAGAAAAAAAATCTATTAAGCATGGTCAGACTACAAAGAGCTCCTGTAAGGAAGCTGAGGGAAGTTGCCTTTCTCTGATGGCCACCACTCATCAGCGGAAGCACTGTGAGCAGGCGTGTGCAGGGCATGTCCATTGTAGCACAGACAGAACCAGGTTTCTTTGAATCATACTCACTGATGTCTACCACCAGCTCTGGATTCAAAATGTGCTCTTTTTCTGGACCATTTTATTTAGCTGCATGTCAGTTATGAGTAGACTAAGTATTTGCCGATCTTCTGTTTCACACTGCAATTTCTTGTGGCCCTTTGAAACTGGCGACTTTAAATATTTTCTCCTTGATGTAAGAAGCTTCTTGCTCTTGCCTGTTTCCCAGCTGAAAACAAGTCTCCACCTCGACCCTGCGGCTTGAATCACTCAGACTCTTTAAACCGAAGTGATCGCATCGACGCAGTGACACCAACGTTAGGGAGCAGCAACAACCAGCTGAATGCATCCTTCCTGCAAGTGTACGTTCCTGACTACTCAGTGAAAGCACTCACAGACATTCAGTTTGTCAAGGTAGGAAAAAAGCTGGGCAGGTGGGCTGGAGAGTCTGGGGAGGGAGTTTCCTCTGGGTTGCTCTGTAGCCCTCTAAGCAAATAGGATTATGGAGACAGCATTTCTAAAATCGTTTTAAATTACTTTTTCTCAGTGTCTGGTGTCTTCAGTGTTCTTCTCAGTAAGGCCTGTAAGTAGATTGGTCATACAAGTTTTTGGATATCAGGTCTCAAGGAGAGAGATTATAGGAAATATCTTCTCTGTTTTAGTCCTGAAAGACATGTCCTTGTGAGGCCTTGAGCTATCTGAAATGGAGACCTTACATTAGCTGACAGCACCCTTTTCTAAAGGATGAAACATTTTGTGTCAGTTGCAGTTTTCATCCACTCTTGATTTTTATTTCAGTTCGAGGTTCTTGCTCTTGCTTTTGAACTTATCCTTCTGCCTGGAGTTGTCTTGGACATTTTTCTTAACTTCACATGTTAGACTTATGTCTCATACTACCAGTGGGTTGCTGCGTGGATACAGCTCTGTCCCCCAGCGTGGTGCATCCCACGCTGAAATGTGTGCGAGTCCTGTGGGATGAGAAAGAGCCAGTGCTGGCAGCAATTCCAGCCCAGCTGGGAGTCCAGGGAAGCTGACATCTCATGGTCAGAAGCTGACCTTGTTCCTTTTCTTAACTAAATGCACTTTCACGTTTTCTTTGTATAAAACTCAGACTGCTCATGTACTCAACTTCTGTCAAAGTTAATCCAGTATTGAAATTAGGAAATAGAACAGAAATACTGGAATGCTAAATCAATTGTTTCACATCTACAGGTAGCCAGATCTTAAGAAGAGAGTACTGACTTTTGTTTAGAACTTGACAAATTGAAATGTACTGGTCAGTGGTTCAGGGCTTCACAGTTTAGGTCAGTAAATAATTATTTCTAAGCAAGTGATTTTCACTACAAAGCAGCTGCTCATCTCGTGTTGGTTTGTATGAAGTCCTTCCAACTCTCACCGTGTTCATACTGAGTCTAAAGAATACTACATTGCCTGGTTTCTCTGCAGTCAGACTTGCAGACCTCTTTTTGTATCACCCTGCTTTATGCATAGGACAGAATACTCATAATATATGTTTTCAGTGTGTCACATGGTCATTTATTCAAGTAATGCCTTGTAATTCAAGTAATCACTTGTAATTCAAGTAATGCCACAGCCAGGGCTGTGACCTGCTTGCACACGCTTGGATTTTGCTGTTGGAGGTGTGACATGTCCTTCTGACACTCTCCGTTTCCAGTCTCTCTTGTGTTGAAGCAAAAACTTCAGGCTTTCCAAAAGTCTTGCTCAGCTTCTTTCATCTGCTGAGATAATCCACTGCTGTTGTAGCACAAGGGTCTGCATGTACATCGTGCTGCCTGACCTCAGGAGCTTATGGGATGGCTCCTGCCTTGTTTGCTATCCTAGACAAGAGCACTAATGCTCGTGCCCTCTGGCTCTTTGAGGACTCAAAGCCCTTCCAGAGCTCACTGAAGCTGGGAAAAAGACTTCACTGAACTTTAGGTCCTAAAAATGTGCACGGTTAGAAGGAAGTTGAAGTCTGATTTTAAAATCATTGCACAGGAGTAAATCCATGCCTGTGGGCAGCACGGTGATCACTCAGCCCTGTGCTTCCACCCTGCCTGTGGAAGCGTCGCCGTGCAGCTGGGGTGCTCTGCTCCTGCAAAGCACAGGGATGTCTGTAGAAGTGGAGTCGATGCTGGGTGAACAGGAGTTGAGTGTGATCATCTGGAAAGGGAGGGTTCTTCGTTTTCCTGGGGTGTCCTGTGAGAGACGCACAAGCATGACTGGCTCTTTTTGTTCCTTCCTTCTGTGCTCGGAGCAGATCTCAAGACAGCAGTACCAAAATGCCCTGATGGCATCTCGGATGGACAAAACACCTCAGTCCTCGGACAGTGAAAACACTAAAATCGAACTGACTCTTACGGAGCTGCATGACGGTTTGCCGGACGAGACAGCAAACCTGCTGAACGAACAGAACTGTGTGACTCACAACAAGCCCAACCACAGTATGCACAGTGAAGGAGCCATCTAAGAGCTGACTCCCCACAACCCACCCATCCCATCTCCTCAGCAGGACCAGCCCTCGCTCCTTCCTGCCTCCTCCCTGAGTGTGACACCGTTAGTACGTGCTTGCAACACTGTGCTGCATCCAGTGTTCTGAGACCAAAGACTTTTGCGTCCGTTGTGGGAGCAAGAAGAGGAAGAAACAGGAAGAAAGGAGCAAAGAGCAAGACAGAGAGACTAAAGCCCCAAGTGTACTTTGGGAATGGTGAGCCACCCTTGAGAACAATGATAATACTTCTTGCAAAGTAGAATCATGTTTATTTTTTATCTGTATTTTTGATCCTTGTTGGGTTTTTCCTCCTCAGACACATATGGAGAAGTTTAAAAACTGCTCCGGTTATTTTTTCAAGAGAGATCATGTTTTTGAAGAGTATTTTGCAGAGTTTTAAATTGTTTCTGTCCCTCCCCAACCTCAACTAGGCTCTGTTGTGGTTTTGTGAGTTGGCTCCAATGTCCTTAGGCCTCTTTTCACCTCTCTCTGTTCCTTTTTGTTGCCATGTCAAAGAAGTTAGTAACTGGTACTTGTATGTATTTGTGTCCTAAGAATGAGTGAGTGAGCTTCAAGGAACCTCTGGTTTTAGCCACCTGGAGGGGCACGGGATGAGTATTATTACATTCTTCCAGTTAAGTTTCAGGGAAGGAGTGGTTATTTTAATATTTAAAGATCTCTCAAATTTCAGAAGGTTTATCTGTAAAACAGGCAAACGCGTTGTTACACTCTACAGTTTTGTGACCTCCAAAAACTTTGTGTATGTTGAAGATGATTCTGGGGAGAAGGACTTCAATAGCAAAGCTGTGGTCTCGTGAGATGAAAGCCAGGTGTAATTTTCGATACCAAAGTCACTGGGTGGTTTTCTGTTGACACTCCTGACAACTGCTTGGTGAAGTAATGTGTGCACCCAAAACCAACAAACTTTTAAGCACCCACGTGCCGCAGTGCTCTGTACACCGTTACCTTGGCCAGGGCAGATTGCAGTGTTTGTTAGTAACGGAGTACAGCAGTCCTTTTCCTTCCCTTAAATCTCTAGTGTTAACACAAAAGATGCTGCTACAGTTATGCCCAAAGTACATCCTCCAGGTGACAGAAAACCTCTGCCAGTGCAAGGACAGCTCTGCTGAGGAGTTGGGAGCATCCTGTCCTCTCCAGGAACTGATGAAAACTTTCCAGACGTGAGTGTATTGCACTTCAGGGATTCAGAGAGGTTCATTCCTAGGCTGTTCCCAGCCATATTCCTTCCATTGAGTGGTTTCGGTGCATTTCCTTCTCTCTGGCCCCTCTTAACAGCCATTTTAGGGATGACCATGGTAGCAGAGCAGAGAGCCTCCTGCCCAGGTGCCACCATTGTGGGGCAGCAGGTGCCAGGTCCTCCACCCCAAAGCCTGAATACAGCCTTGGTGCAGTGAGGGGCACCTGTGGCAGTTGTGCATTGCATGTTCCCCGGTCCAGTGAATGGAGTTAAAGTCCTCAAATGAAACAAAAACAAAAACGTTCCCCCCTCCTTATCCTCTCCCCTTCCAGTGCTGTCTCAAACAGAATGTGAATGTTGTCCTCAGTATTAACGCAAGCAGAGATCAGTAAACAAGGTATTGTGATTTCTCTGTTCCAAGACCCGTGGCCCCTGATTATGTAGCATCTCCTTTCCTTTCTTTACACCCCAATAGTCTCCCCTGACCCCCAGGGAAGCCCCAAATGCAGCTGCCAGAGCTCCGTGCCTGCCTGGGTTAGGGGGGCACCCACCTTCAGTGCCTGCGGTCTGCCTTGGTAAATGTTGGCTGGAAAAGGCACAACAGTGCTGCAGTAACTCCCTGCAGGAAACTGGGTGTGCAGCTCTGGAGCAGGCTTGGGGACACAAAGCAGGGCCCCGAGGCTTAACTCCTTTATCAGCTTTGCATTAGCATGTTCTGGGTCCTGTCTAAAAGCCACCACTCCGAGGCGCCCCACACTGCACCAAGAGTTGCCAGTGTTGCAACTTTCTCCCAAAGCAAATGTTGAGATGTGACGGTGTTTGCCTTGGCACGGTGAGCCCCTCGCTGTGTGCTGCTGTTTCTGTAAGTGTTGCTGAATGTAAAGGTCTGTTGGATGTGACCGACACGGTAGTGAACTTGAGATGCAGTATCTGTTTTGTAACACCTGCCAAAGGAGAGGAGGCTCAAGTGGAGGCTGCCCATTGGATATGACTTCTGCTTCTTATGGCAGGTTCTGGATTTGTTTTGAGTGTCTGTTTCCATTAAAAAAAAAGAAAAAAAAAAGCCAAAATTTCCAACCAAAGCCTTGTGATCCCAAAGCAAATACCTCCTGCTTCTGCCTATGCTGCACTGTTCACAAATTTCCAGGCCTTTTTTTTTTTTTTTTGCATGACTTTTTCATCATATATAGAGATCTGATAATGGAAAGTGAAATAATTTCCAGAAAAATAGTTGACTGTAGATGTGTTTCATATGGAAAATATGTACCTGACCCGGAGGGGTTGGGAGCTGCTACTTCAAATTAGCTTGAAGCGCAAGGCATGGTCCTCTCAGCGGAAGGGAAGGAATCCTTTCTCCCTGTTCTCAGGGAATTTGCAGTCTTACTGTTTCACAAAGGCAAGGGGTTCCCAGCCCTGTGCTAGGAGCCAGCACAAGCAGAGGAGCCCTCTTCATCTCAGATCGCTCTGAAGCTCGGCTCTTTCCACCGGGATGGAAATGCTGTGGCTCTGTGCAGTGCCAGCACGGGGTCTGGTTATCCTGGCTCACTGCTGGCTTCTTTGTTCAGGTGGGCTCAGATGCCATAACCTGTGCCATGTGTGTGCATGGTGGAGCGTGGGTCAGCGCGGTGGCATGGGGCACTGGTGGTGGCTTTGGGAATCGTTGGGCTTGACCTCAGACCTTGGCAAGGCTTTGGCTTGCAGAAAGGATACTGCATCTTCCTGTGTCAGCTCTGCTGCCACTGAGCTCACTGTGTCTGTCGTGGGGCGGGTGGCAGCCTGGGGGCCGGGAGGGCATCTCGCCATGGTTTCTACTGTCGATACAATTTTGCACAAAGAGTTCTTTGAAGTGACATTTTAAACACTAATATCTTAAATGCACAACTGTGAATTATAACTTTTACACTCCTGTTGGTTGAATTTCCTTTAAAGAAATGAACCTGAATCTGTTGTAACTATGATTTTTTTTTTTTTTTAATTCTGTGTATTGCCAAATCTTTGTAAAGAGTGAAGGAATGTTCTTGCTTTCCAATGAGAATCTTTCTCCAAACGAGACTGGCTCTGGTGACGTGGAGATCATACGAAGCACGTGGCTGAGCGCAGAGGGGCTCGGGTGGGCGCAGCGAGACACCTCTGCAGCTCATGGAGCACTCTGGTTTGTCCCCTCGCTCAGACCCCAGTTTGTCTGTTGTCCCCAGGGCTCAGGACAAGGTTTCCCAGGGCTGAGAGCACGGGGGTTGGGTGCTGTGCTCGGAGGCTGGCGGCAGGGCAGGCCGTGCCTAGTGATGCCACCAGCAGCACCTGTCCTCCCCACGCTTCCCTCCCTTGCTTCAGCCGTATCCCAACTGTGTTCCTGCTGCCCCTCGTGCTCCTTGTGCCCTGACACGCACGCATGGTGCTGCTCTGGGCTGACAGACCCTGCCTGGGGCTGAGACCTGCGGGCCTTGTGCTGGGTCACTCCTTCAGCGCTGTGCTCCACAGTCTGTCCCCCCCCTCTTCTACACTTATTCCCCTTTTCTCACCGCAGGGTTGTTATCATTTTTTATTCTTCTTTTCTTTAAGTGCCTTTTTGTGCGGGTGGAGCAGGCACCTGCAGGAAGCTCAGCTGCCCGTGACACCCACGGACACATCGCCCTGTGCTGCTCCCCAGCTGCAGGCCCAGTTCCAGAGATGAGGTTGGCACTGGTGGGACTCTGGCTCAGTTCAGCTCAGAGGAAAGGAAACCAGAGGCGGCTTTGTGAGGGGCTGCCCCCCGACGAACATCCCGTGTAAGTACCTGCCCTAAGGACAGCACAGCCAGCTTCTCCAGGACTGCTTGGGGCGTGCATCTTCCTTGTGCTGAAATAGACTGTAGAGATCATTCCCACATGAAAGATGTACCCTATTTTATATGCTGTCTAATACACATCTGTGGTTTTAAAACCAGTGCCTATGTACCAGTTGTTGCGTTATCCAATGCCAGTAGGAAGCTGGGACTGGCGGGTGGGGAGCAATCTATAGTGAAAGAGAGAGTGCCAAAGAAGCGCCCGGTCCCTGGTGTCCTCGGTTACTGAGAGTTGATTGTTGTTGAACTAACAAGTTTAACAAATGGGAGTGGGAACCAGGCATCATTGCATGGCATTGAAGAGGGAGCGGCCTTCATCCTGACCTGACAGGCAGAGCCCTGCACTGTGGGCTGGGGAGCTGACCCCACCCTGCTCCCCGGCGTCCTTGGTCCATCAGCTGCAGGGCCCTGCACTGTGATCCCTGAGATAGCACCAGTGCAGGGGGACACTGCTGCCTTCTTGGTGTTCTGCTCTTGTCCTGGGGCTTGTCCTCATGCTCTTCTGTTTTCAGTTTCATGGTCTTGTCCTCAAGGCTGTACCCAGGCGAGGGGACACAGCTGCCTGCTGCAGATCCACAGTGGTACGGTTGAGCTTCTCGTGTTGGATTTGTGTAGATGCTGTTGTGTTAGGAGCTGGCTGGGCCCTGGGTGTGTTCCCTAGAGCAGGCCTGGGTGCAGGTGGTGGAGAAAAGTTTTCTTGGGTCAGTAGCATCAAACTCTACCAAAGTGACAGTGTCCTTCTTGTTATCCTCATGTCAGACCGTAGGGATTTTGCACCTTGCAGATAAGGTACTCGAACTACTGCTTTTCTGGCTACAGTTGAAAAATTTTGTGATCTCTCCTGAGGTTTTCCTTCAGGCCCTGGTTTCCTTCAGAAACCAGCCTATAACGGAGTCCTCCAAAGCTCAGTTCCTGTGCACTTCTCCTTTAGTCTTTCCCCGAGGTGGGCCTGGGCTTGGGCTGAGGCTGGGAGCAGCCTTTAGTTGGAAGTGCCAATACTGAAGGAACGCCTTCGGGTTTTGTCCAAAGATCAGTGTGGGAGTACAGCAGGGCTCCTGGTGACTGCTCTGCAGCCAGGCCTGGATCCCTTTACCCAGTATTTGTGCTCTGTCCGTGTGCATTCAGCTGAGCAGCTTGCTTTGCACCTGGATGCCAAATAGATTGAACCCAAAAACTCAAGTACTTGAGGGCACCTTCCTGTGTCACGGGGAAACCACAACGAGCTGGTTCTCTGCAGCCGGTGGGCTCTGAAACCAAACCTTTCTCCTGCATTCAGGAGCCTGGCACAAACCATCAGCTTGTTCTCCCAGCAGAGCTTTGTGCCCATGCCCAGCGCGTGTTCGGGGTGGCTGAGCCCAGCGCTTCCCTGTCCCTCCCACGTCCCATTGCCCATCGCACGTGGTCTTTGCTGACTGTATCATATTGTACATTATGTCGGGTCTCCGGAGTTGTAGTGTTCTGACTACAGTATTTCCATGTGTGTACATAAACCTGAGTAAGCACAACTGAAATCATGAATGAAGTGTATACGTTTCATATACTGATTGTCATACAAGTGAATTTTATAATTATTCTAATTTTGTTGTAGATTTCCAATCTTTCCTATTTATTTTGTACCTGATTTATTTGTATATTTTGTGATTTTGTTTAAAAGCGTTTTGTTTATTTCTGTTCTTCTAGATAAATGATGATTTTTTTTCTGTTGGACATTCCAGTTTATGCATTTTTCCCTCCTCCGTTCCTCCCCCTGTTCCAAAGGGCCAGCTGTTGGCACGTGGGTGGTGGGGCTGATGGCGGGGACCCTGGCCCCAGATCTCCGCTGATCAGGAATTGCTGTTGGCGCTGGGCAGCCTTTAACTCCTCAGCAGTTGTCAGGAGCCATGGAGAGGCCAGATCATGTAGGGCCAGGTTGTGTTCTTTGCACTGGGGTCTGAGGGCCGTCCATTCTGCAGCCGGGGGTGGCAAAGGCAGTGGTACCTCAAGGCTGATGGCCTTTTTCTTCCTCCAATAAAAGTCCCTTATTTACAACATGCTTGCCATACATCACATTTGTTTTTTGGGAAGTGGGAACACCATCTGCTTGGCCCTACCTCATTCCCACTGTGTGTTGTGCAGGGTCTTGGAGTGGCCAGACTAAGAGTGTCGAGGAGAGGAATGGGGCAGGAGAGCCTGGGGCAGGGGAGGGCACAAGAGGCTGGGAAATGGGGATGGGTTTGCCTGCCCGTCCTGGTGCAGGAAAGGTCTGGCTGCATCACAGCCAACTCTGCACTGGCTAAAGTTAGCAGAAAAAGGGTTTTATTGACTGATGAGACCCCAGCTTTTTTCCTGCACTGTAGTGTGACTGAGGCGGTGCTGGCAGCACCCAGGATGTACCCACCATCTGTGCATGTGTTCTCTGGAGCAGCAGCTGTGTGGTTCCAGCATCGAGGACCGGGTCACTGTGAGCGGCTTATGAGGAGTGATGGTCCCACAGGTGGGTGCTGGTGGAGCAGTCACACCCAGCCCTTTTGGTGGAGAGACACCTGGGCATGGCACAGGGACTGATAGCCTCTGTTAGCTGTTGGACATTCCTGATGGCAGCTGCACTGGCTGTCATGTGCTGTCTGAAATTCTTTACTCAGAGGGAGGTGAAGCTCTGGCTCTGGTGCCCAGAGAGCTGTGGGTGCCACATCACTGGATGTGCCCAAGGCCGGGTTGGATGAGGCCCTGGTCAGCCTGAACTGGTGGTGGCACCCAGCTCATGACAGGGCGGTGAGACTGGGTGGGCTTTAAGATCCTTTCTGACCCAATGGTTCTGTGATTCAGGGCCCGGTAAGGTAGGATGAGGGAGAAGGGCCTGGCAGGCTCTGCCTCTGCTTTCCCACCAGTGAGTGGGGGCCAGATACCTTCCATTGCTCCAGCCTTGCAACATCTCCCTGTCACTGGCAGAAATAGCCCTGGGCTGGGAGCAAGCTATTTGTGGGACTACAGAGGCAGAAGGAATGTACAGAGCTCCCCACACCGCCCTGCTCCCAGCCTCATGCCCTCTCCAGCTGCTGAGCTAAAGCCTGAAGAATCCAAGTGGCTCTACTTGGAGAAATGATTGTTAAACATAGCAAATCCCAGCACGGCCTTCAGTGTGAGGATGCAGGGTTGGCTCTGGCATTCCCCTCCAGCTGGGGCTGTTTCCCACCTGCTGCGCCCCACACCACCTGCTGCCCAGTGCAGGCCAGCCCTCAGCCCAGCACCGTGCCACAATGCACCAGGCACTTCTTAGAAACATCATGGTTTATTGACTTGAACAACTGCCACTTCAGTAGCAGCATTTCCTGCTCAGAGGGTGGTGATGTGTATTATTTTTATTTTCTCCTAAGGTACTTTAAAATAGGGGGGGGGGAAAGAAAAAAAGAAGATTAAATGCGCTTATGGTACTGAAACAACAGTCGAATTCATTACAAGAGGGCCCCCCCACTGTAATCCCTTCACATGTGAACGGCACAGGCTGGAGTCAGGAAAGCTGCATCCAGAACAGAGAGAAAAACCAGCAATGGCAGAACCGCACCATCAGCCACACCGGTCCCCACATTGCAGCCATGAGTCACCCCCTCAGCCAGGACGCAGCATCACTGTGCTCTGCACCGGGCTAAAGGCAATGGAGCTGTGGGTGGATGAGAGCCTCCTGCCCAGCACTGTGGCATACGCTGTTTTCTATTGCAGGGCAGAGCTGCATGTCCAGCAGCATGCTGGAAGACAGCAGACTGGGCCCTTCACTTGCGGCTGGTTTTGTCTTTGGGATGCTGAGCAGACACAGGTCAGGAACAGGCAGCGAGGAAGACAAGCCAACTAATGTAATGCTAAAGCGGTAGCTTGAAGCTGTGGGGTTAATATTTACTGTTGGAAGGACAGGAGTTGAGTTGAGAACACAGCGTGCGGCTCCGCTGTTTGGGAAACGCGCTGGCAATCAGGCACTGAATGCTGCTGATGAAAGAGTGTGAAACAGGGAGGGGACAACACCGCCTACAAACTGAAATGTGTACAGCTGCAAAATGCACGTAAGAGCCGGAATCCTGCTGCTATCTGTGATGGACGGAGGAACTGAACCATTCACAGGGAGACTCTTGCCAAGCAGGGGTGGACGTGGAGCTGGAAGCCACAGCAGTGCCCTGGCTAACATGGTGGGGTTGGTTTGAATGCAGGAGAGCAAAGGGCGGCAACCCAACAGCAGGAGTTAGATTGTTGTGTTTCCTGCAGGGCTCAGCACATCCCTTCCTCCTCCACATGAATGTAACAAATGGCAAAAACCGTTTACAGGACACCGTTCAAATGGAAACACATCATGAGAAAGGAAAAATCATGCAGCATCCCCAAATGGAATGGGAGCAGCATTACAGCACGGGCAGGCAGTGCCATCTGAGTGCACCACCCAGGCAGATCCATCAGCTTGTTGAACCGTCTGCAGAACTGAAAACAAAGGTCTCCTCCTGATTAGTGTTAATTTGTTGAAAGTTTCCGGCCGCTTTCAAAATGTGCCTTTGCAGGAATCACACACCCCCAACCCATCACCCCAAGGGCCCCAACATAGGAATCTCCTCCTGATCACTGCTAGAGTCACGTTATCTTCAGAAATGCTTTACTTTTTCCTTCTTACTCTTCTTCCTCCTCCTCCTCTTCCTCCTCCTCTTCCTCTTCCTCATCGTCATCTTCATCATGGCAGTGTGTGATTTCCTGAGGTGCCTGGGGGAAGAGGTTGGGCGGTTTGATCTCACTGATGGAGCGGGTCAGTTGGTGCCGCTTGTAGTCAGAATCTTTAAAATCCACCGAGGTGCGATTGCGCGTGGCCATGGGCGACTCCTTCTCATTGATGTCCACATGTGTGTGTTCTACCGTGGACTCGTGTGGCATCTAAAGGTGTAAGAGAGAGAGGAGATGGCGAGGTAACCAGAGCACAAGCCATAGAACATGCCACCCCATCCTCCCAGTACTGCCAGCTCATGAGCGTGCTCCCCAGTGCCTGCAACTCACCAGGACGTGGGCGGCTCTGAAGAGGTAGCTGAAGGGGTAGTAAAGGAGGTTGATGAAGGAGGCTGCATAGAGGTCGGCGTAGCGCATCACCTGGCTGGCAAACAGTGTCTGCCGGGAGCCACTGCGGAAGAGGCTCCCCATCATCCCGTAGCACATGTCCATGTCATGGGTCACTTTCTACAAGCAAAGGGTAGGTTAAATCCTGGCCTCGGCACGCGGCAGCGCAGAGCTGACCCAGCCTCAGCATCACTGAAGGCTGGGGGCTACGTGAAGCCTGCAAGGATCTCCAGTGAGCTTTTGTGTGCTCTTATCCCAAGGCATCAAAGCACAGCCGGGCCCCAGCTAACAGAAGGGAAGGCAGCAGCGGCACCAGGGCCAGCACCCGCCACGGGCTGGGACCTCGCACACAGGGCTGGCTGAACCAGAGGCTGCCGCCCCTTCAGGCACACATCAGCACCCTGCTCTGCAGCAGTGAGCACTGTAAGTAGGTGCTACGTACATGAGGAAGGAGACCCTATTCCAGACCAGGCTGCCTTTCAGGAGTGCCAGTGACACCAGTGAGCTGGGAAGCTCCTCCGTTTGCGTCCACAGAAAGAATGGCTTTGCAAAGCCTGCCATGCCCACCCAAAGGCAGAGCAAAGCATTTCAGGGCTGAGCAGTGGGTCGGGTTGTCAAGCCCTTTGGGATCCAAAAGGATGAAAAGGGATTTTTATGGTTGGTACCTTAATGCGTCTCTGGATGGAGCTGATGTCAGGGCGTTCATTGCTGCTACTGTCCAGATGCCTAGTTACAGGCGAGAAGGTAAATACATGCTGTGAAAAGCCTTTCAGAACCAGATGTTGTGAGATGGGGGCTTAGGGAGGGAGGCTGGTCTGGAGGGGAAGATTGGTGTCAAGGGAAGAACCCAGGCCTGAGGCAAAGCTCTGGCAGCAGTGCTGCCAACCCAACCCCAAGGGTTCATCAGAGCCACGCATTAGCTGTTGCTAGGCTGGGAGAGGCAGCAGTACACTTGTCAGTGTTTTAACACTCACTTGTATAACTCGGCCAAGAAGATGTCCAGGCTCTGCAACTCTTCAAAAAGGGCTGGATAATCCAGAAAAGAAAGGGGGAAAAGGTAAGTTTAACCTCAAAATGAAAGGGCTGAAAGCAAATGCACCATCCTGCCCGCATGACCGTGGTGGGGCATGTTATCACAGCCATTGTGCAGGGAGAGGGTTCGATTGTGCTCTATGCCACCAGCTGAGCTCTGGGCTTGATTTCTGGTTGCCACTTCAGTTTTTGAGACTGAACCTTCACAGCCCTCACAGAAACCTTCCTACCACTCATGGGACAATGTGCATAACCCCCAGACCGACTCACACATCAACATGCAAACCTGGGAGAAAAGCAGTAGTGCTCAAGGATGGGAAACAGCACTTTGGTAGCAGAGGGAGGAAGAGGATGAGGAAGGAAGAGGAAGCACCTGGTAAGCAGGGATTCCCTGCAGACTGGAGAGCAGTCATGGCTCGGATAATACAGGGACAAAAAAAACGTCTATCTTGTTAGATACTTTTTACTAGAGAAACCATGGCACTACAGAGACAAAGGAGTTTTGGGAACAAGGTTATGGATGAGCTCAACACCAACCAGCAGCAGTTTCTCCCCTGGCCAAGTCAAGGCTGAGTGATCACAGGCAAAAAACCTGGGACCCTGTGAGCAACCCAGCTGCTGCACCAACACCCCATCCCAGGGAAGAAGGATCTAAGGTGGGTTTGGGAGAAAGGTTGCAAGACTGTGATCTCTCCCCTGTGCCCCCCTGCCCCCTGCTGACCGCTTTTGTCAGTCCAGACGTGTAGTTCCTGTGCCAACTCTGGGATCACTAGGAAGGTCCTCCAGCCCTGGCGCTTCTTGGATTTGAGGATGTCTCCGAAGATGTGGTCTCCAATGTACAGAATATCCTTCCCTTTAGCCCCCAGCAGGTCACAGACTGTGTCTGAGGAGCCTGAAACAAAGAACAGACTGGCTCAGAATGAGGAGCCAAAGGGAAATGCAGGGCTCCATTCTGAGGACCAGGGTTAGGGATGCAGCTGCTTCATTTTCCTCCTAGAAATCTCCAACTGCTAAACTCAACAGGGCACTGCACACTCACCTTCCCTTGGAATATGCACACACCTTCATACAAATGTAGCAGAGGGACCTTGCAGTCCTGGCCATGTAACAGTTATGGAGCCCAGGGCATTATGGACAGCCCTGTGCAGCCATTGCATTTCCCTGGTGCAGCCACTCTGTGCAGCATTCCCAGCTGTCCTCACTGCTGTCAACAGGCCCAGCTGCATCTCTCCCCACTCCCTGCCCTGCAGTGGCATTTCCCAGGTCCTCCCTAGCAAGGAAGGGAAGGGCATTGAGGAACAGCTCTCTTTCTTCTCAGCACTGAGCAGCACTAGTTTTTTTGGCACAAAAGGCACAGAATGATGTGTTTCACGAAACACAGCCCTGCCTAGATTCTGGCATAGCACCCAGCCACCCCGCATGAGTCCTCATGAGTGGATGAAGGCCACCAGGGCACGTCAGAGCAATTTCACAGAACAAGAAGTGTTCTGTCTCACCTCCAGAATACACAATGCCGTGCTGCAATGGGCCAGTGTAGGTACCAATCTTCAGCTTTCCAGTCACCTGAAGGAGGAGATACTGCATTAGTAAAGAACAGCTGATGCTCCGGGTCTTTTCTGTCCCACTCTTTCTTTACTCTCTGTTTCTAGGGCAGGTCCAGCCTAAATACAGCACTGCCCGCTCCCACTAAGAGACTGTATATGAGCCCCTCCAGCCTTTGAGGTGCCCTCCATGTGGTGCTCACCGTGTCCACCTGCCGCAGCACAGTGCCTTCCCCAAAGAAGAGGGGTTTCCGTGCATCCACCAGGATCAGGTCAAAGTAGGACTGCCATGGCCGATGGGCACTCCCAGGCTGCAAAAGCAAAAACAAACCCTAGAACTAGGTACCACATAAACAATCACAGGGAATTTAACTGGAGCGTCACTGCCCACAGCCATAATGTTTCTACACAGCTGGTCCATCTCCCATTTCGTGCCTCTGTTACATGACCCTTGGTTGCCATCTCCTAGAGCACTCATTTGTGGCAAAGCCATCCCAGCCCAGCAGCAAAAACTGAGAAAGGAAGGAGAACTGCAATGAACAGCCATGTCACAGCATAGCTGTTGTGCAGAGGGATGCACTAAATGACACTGCTGACACAATTTCTGAATGTGGCTTCAGCCTTCCAAGAACACACTGATACACTTGCCCAGAGCTGGAAAATGCCTGGACTCTATTCTACAGAGCAGAGTTCCAAACCACAGCCCTGCCTGATGGACTCCAGGCGTGATTTCCCATGTTCTGAAAATTCTCCCTGCTGTGTTCAGTGCGCAGTGTGAAAACGCATCTTTTGAATATGAGATGGTCTCCTAATGAGAGATGGAGAAAGTAGTATAAATTCAGCTCCTAAGCCTCTCTCCAAAAGTTTCAGGGCTGAACTTCATCCTCACGACACCAGGAAACTTTTGGAACTACCATAGCAGAGGCACAACTAGGCCATAAAAGAAAGATTCTGCTGTTTAACACAACTCTTTCCCTTCCATCAAGACATTTTTTAACAAGACATTGTATAAGATTAGGAAGAAATCTGGCTGTAAAATGCCACAGCTAAAATGCGTTAATGCTAAAATAATGTTATCACTAACATAGATTATTGTTTGAGACTAGATGATGCCTCTTTTCTCTTTGTTATACTGTATTTGCTTTGATCCTATTCAAATAGGGCGCTAAACAGCAAGCATATTTTAACCAGATTAAAGCAACTAATCCCAGGCAGCTGATGAAGCAGGATTAAAATGCTTTCCAGCTACACAGATAATTAGGCACATCAACTCGTTTTGGAACTACAGTCTAGAAACCACATACCTTTGGTCCGTGTGGAAAGTCAAACAAGTAAGTCATGATTTTCTGAAAGACAGAAAGTATTCAAAGTTGTATTTTTTAAGTAGTTAATAAAAATATACTTTTCTGCTTTTGTCTTTTCAGGCTACAAAACTTTATTTTCAGCATTTACAGGAAAGTAGCCTAAAGTTTGGAGACAGAATGAATAGATTGGCCTTAAAGTGAAAGGAAATAAAATGGTGGTTTTTATAATCAAAGAACACATCTGCCTCAGGAATCTGCATATTGCTTCAGCTCTTGCAGTGCTTTATAACGGCATGTGATCCTTCAGTTTAGCAATGTGGCAACATTCTGACATTCAGCCAGCAGCACAGCGACACAGCCTGCTCTGGCTCCTGGCCTCTTCAAGATCATGGGTTTGGTGACCTCTCCCCACTAAGAACTGTCTCACTTGGAAGAGCAGATTGTCACTTTCTCTTTCACCTTCTTACTCACTTAGGAACAGAGGCACAAAGCGACTTAAGCCAGGCCTACCCCAGGTCAGTAACCAAGCCAGGACTATAAAAGAGAAGTCTCACCACCTAATTGGCATTCACCACTAAATCATCCCAGTTCAGAAAGCACCCAATTCCCCACCTGCCAAATCCCATACACTAGGTGGGTGGCTTTTGTTTATTCCATTACATACTGATGCACCAGTTCACACAGCACTTACATCTGTGTATTTGTAGTCACTGTTTGTCACAAGAAACACCTTCCCAACTTCGTTCATGCGGCTCAGCAGCAGTGGCAGCTTCCCCTGCAAGTCAGAGGACAGAACAGTTAGACACAAAGACACAGAGCTACACCATGGGCAAAACACAGCTCAGCTGTGATCCCATCAGTCAAAACAAGGAAGACACTGCTACCACCACCCTCCAGCCCCAGATCTCCTCCCAAAACGGGCCCACAGGAGGTGAAATCTGAGCTCGCATGAGCCACGAGTTGGAGTGTATTATGATTCCAACCTCAAATTAGGGAGAATTTATTCCTGGAGCTATTTTTACAGAATCGTAAATCTTAGGGCCATTGCCAGAAGAGCTGATTACCTCACAGTACGGTTTCCTAAGAATTTTGCAGGCATGTAACTAGATACAAGGTTAACTGCTTTAAAGTAGTATTCCACCACCAAAGGAGGAGCCCACAGAGATCATTTAAACTGAATGATAATTATAAAATGATGGGTCCACAGGGGCCCTGCACACTGCAGAGGGCGAAAGTAAGGGAGCCACCGGAGCTTGCTCAGTTAGATGTGCTGAATACATATTTTAGGACTTATCAAAGTGCTGGGCTTTGGTGGGCGTCTCAGGATTTTCCCCTCAATCTGTCATTGTAAGAGCTGTGTAATGCTTTTGCTGGATGGTGGAGGAATACTTCTGTTTCAGCGATACTCGTGTGTTACTTTTAAAAAGAGGTCTGCAGCAGAGGATTGCTTGGGCAGAGAAAACGTGAGCGAGGGACTACAGCTGCTTTCAGCATCAAAAGAAACAACGTAAGCCTGGCCAGCATATCCACCTGTGTCCCATGACAACATTTCCTCTGGCTTTTATATTTTACGTAAAAACGCGCACGTGAATACGAAATCACGTGGATCACTGGCTCAGAATAAAGGCTGCGTCCGAACTTTCCACTTTGTCTTTGGTTATTACAATAGAAATCACAGCGTTATCTGTTTTGTGATGTAGTAAAGCAAATCAGCGTATTTACTTCTTGCCTGCTTGCTCAGTACAGAATGTCACGTGGCACAAGTGAAGCAACTTCACACTTACATCTTTCACCACGTACTTTTCCAAATTCTCAAGGGTCTTCTCCTTGAGCGATCCCTGAAATAGAAACAATAGAATCCAGTGAGGTGATGGAAACTTATGATGTAGGAGACATCACAGTAATGCCAACTTTCACACTTCAAAATGCTGTGAAAGTACAAACCAGGGCGAATCTGAACCAGTGACTCTAGAGATGAGAGGCTTTGAGTAGCAGGGACCATCACAAACTCTGTGATCCATCGATTCCCTCACCATGGTAAATAATCCACTTCAACAGCATTTTAACCCTTTCAGATGGGAATACAATAGAAACAAACAAAAAATAGATTTGCCATAGCAAACAAGACAGTCAACGACCTGTCTCCAACACTGACCACCATAGCGGCCAACTCCAACATATAACATTGCATAAGGAAAGAAAAACAGATTCCCAACTTCTGCATGACTCAAACAATCAAAAGTACAACTGTGAGCAGAAATCTCCTGTGACAGTTCCCCATCCCACCCCAACAGACTCTTGAATGAGGAAGAACAAGAAGATCAGGTCCTGAACGAGGCATTAATGCTCACAAGATCTACATTCTAAATTTGCACACAAGTCTGCTGAAAAATGGCTTCCTCTCTGATGAATTCTGTTTAATGCAGCTAGCTTTTAGACAACATAAGATAATACCATTGTAATATACTGACAATAAAATTGCTTTTTTTAAAATTGTGACAATGTGAAGTTGTGAACATTAAATGCAAATATCCTCATGGTAATACATTCTAAAACCCACAAATTATAGCAAGGAAATGGACTCTAGGCACAATAAAAAGAACTAGGAAGCCAGCAGAGATAATACTGCAGTGCCAGAGACCTTGACTTGCTTGCATAAAACTGCAGTTTATTATTTGCTCACTAGGTGGCAAAGCAAGGCTCTTGCCCAAAAGTGGAATATCTTAACTGAAGAGTTAGAAACCAGTCCCTCTAACTCATTTATGACTACTGATGTCTCGAGGAGTTCTTGCAATCACCTTGTAATGAACCCAGTCAACAGCATCTCTGACATCTTGGAACATACTCCTGAATGACATGAAGAGGTCTCCATCTTTAAACCCTGTTTCACAGCTGTGGAGAGAAAGAGGTGGTTGCAGTAGCCAATTGCAGGGTTCAAAACGTATGGAGCATTTTTATCTTACCACACTCATTTCTTATTGACCCCTTTACTGCAGCAATGGATACATTACATGATTAAACTTTTCATTTCCTGTCACAAAACATGCAAAAATGACCCATCACGGAAGTCAGCTGCACAGTAGCACCCAGACCTGCAGCTTGTTTTTATGTTTACATCTATTTGAAAGCTAGGAAAATACATACATTGCTGAAATAGCCTTTTAAACTACACTGAATATTTCACTTTTGATTACACAAAGTCCTCAATTATAACTTGTGGTAACTGGCTGAGGAAACTCAGCCTCTCAGTTACCTGCTCAAACATGGATCCAAAGGACATGGGTTGAAAATGAGCTGTGCAGTGGCTGTAATCACCCTTTAGTATGTGGTCTTAGAAACTGGCCCAAATACCAGTGTCAGCCAGTACAGTGACACTGGCATGCCCTATGAAGGAGACCCACATAACCAGCCTTGGCTGCACACACAGAGCATCTCATCAGCACTAAATCCCTTAATATCAAAAGAATAAGAGGTCTGAACATTTCCCCACTGAAACCACTTGAGAGGCCTCCAGTGATACTAACAGCAGGTGCATCTCTATTATATATATTGCATTTTATAACAACAATCTTACAGTATTATCAGCATGTCTAACCAGAGGGGACACATACCTAGTGTACCGGTCACAATTAGTAAAGAAATCCACGAGGCAAGCCAACAGGTAGGTCTCTGTGAAGAAGAAAAGCAAGACTTTAAAACAAGGATAATACCATGCAGCCAGCTAAATCTGGGCCCTGTGCATGAAAGAAGAAAGTTCGTGCAAAAACAAATAAATCAAACAGCTGAGTAAGACATTAGCAAAGCTTTACAGGCTTCAAAGATACAGGGACTGTCACATGGGACTCACCTGGTAGATTGAACAATGTGTTCAGAATGTAAAACCTATCTGTGTCATCCCTCTGGATAAATTTGTTCGGATATTGATCCCGTGTTTCAGGCCTGAGAACAAATAAGGTGGAACAGAATGAAGCCTCAAAACTTACTGAGGATACAGTGTGCTGACCTGCAGAACATAGCTTTAGTAGGGTCCATTAGCAAGTAGTATCTCTGTGCTTTAACCAACACCTAGCTTTCCTATGTGCAGTAGCAAAACAGCACCCACTGCATGTCACTGTCCTTGTGCTGGCTGCGGCAGCACCGGGCACAGAGCCCTTATCCTGAGTCAGCAAAGGAGCCAAGCCCCCAGAGGGAAACTATGGTCAGGAGTCCACAACTCGACCTTAAGCCCCATGCTGCTGGCTATGAGTATGCCTTACATCATCTGCACTTTCATTGTTTGCTTATCTTAAACTTTCCCCCACTTTCCATGTGCCGTTGAACACCCCTCTGAGCAGCTTCCCGCAGGGCTGCACTGCAGGAGTCTTGCCTGGGGCCTGCTGCAATTAACTGGCAGTATGGTGACGACTAAAGTCACTCAATTGTTCTTGTTCCCTTCATTTCTGGAGCTTCTGAAGATCACCTTTGATTCGAGGAGGAACTCGACTGCATTCATAAAGTCTTTTATAAAATGTTGACCTCCTGCTACAGGGACTTACATGCCTGCAACGACAGGCTCATCACCTTGAGGCCCCGGAGCTGGCTCTTGCTTGCCTTCCATCCCTCTGCCTTGCAGGTAGGAGGGGATTTGCTGGGATACATCAAGCTCGCAGCACTGCAGCCCCCTCTGCTTCCCTAATCACCTTCTCTGGGGCACAAAGAAAGAATGGCATGCGATGCATCACCGAACCATAGAATCATAGGGGTTAAAGTGACCTCTGGAGATCAGCAGAGGTTCCTTACAGCAGGTTGACCAGGAAAGCATCCAGGCAGGCCTTGCATAAAGACTTCTGGCTGCCTCTGACCTTAGGCCCTTGAATTTTCTTAGACGCAGCATCGGAAGTCTTCACAAGTCCTTATGCAACGGATGCCCTACAGATCACATTAAGTGAAAAAGAGCGATCAAGAGCAAGCACTCACCCTCTGAGGAAATTAAAGCCATGTGCACACACCAGGAGGTTTCCATAGGCATCAACTTTCAGCAGGTTTCCATAGTGGGTATCAAACACCAGGCCTCTGTTAAGAAAGCAATTAAAGATATGAAGCAGAGAGCAGTGAAAGCGGTGACCATTTCAATACCAGCTCTTTTCAATGCCAGCTCTAGAGCAGCTGGCTTGCTTGGCAGGGGGCATCAGACCAAAGCTGCTTTTTTTGTGCAGATGAGCACTCACTTTTTACCTGGGTGCAGGTATGCAACAACAATGCCCTGCATTGCCAGGGTAAAAGATACAGCTGATCTGCTCTGCGTGGACTTGAAAGTGGAGCCGTTTAACCTGGTACAGGCTTAGCTGTGCATTTACCAGGACCTCTTCTACAGGGTCACGAATCTGACACTTGCGCTTGTGGTCACTGACAGCCCTGCTGGGAGTTGGGATAAGGGAATTTCTCCTCTCCTTTTCATCTGTCGGTCATAGACAGAGCCAGATGGAATATATAAGTATGGCACAGAATGCTTGGGACAATTTTTCCAAGTCCAGCAAAACTCCGTCTCACTTATTTATTATCTTGCACCTGAGAAAGCAGCCTTCCCACAGATACACCCTTTCCGGCCCTTCTCTGGGATGAATGGGAGGGATTTAAGGAGTCTTCATGACATGATCATAATGTTTTGTTATGGGTATGGGAGCACACAGCACCAGTCTCAGTGTAAATCATGCAGGCAGGAAGGAAGGAGGCTGCCAGACTAAAACTGGAGCACCAAGCTTCTGCTCCAATCTTTTATAAAAAAAAAAAGCCCCAGAGGAGCCAAAAGCAAAATCCAGCAAAGACACAAGTGGAAATGGCTTAAAGGCACCGAGCTAGGTTAAATGCCTTTAAAACAAGCAACATCCTTTTAATTTCTGCTACCAACAGACAAAAATGTAAGAATTCAGTAACTCTGCACCGCTAACTTGATTTTCCACGTTTGATTCATCTAGGCAAGTGGACTGGATCAGTCCCACTTTTATTGCTGGTTACCATCAGCTTAATTTTTCAGGATGTCTCATGCACCAGGATGCTGCTGCGTCTGGTTTGACAAAACCAAAGGAAAACACATTAATTCATTAAAATAATTACAGAAAAATGTTCTAAGACTTTCTGGCCTCATGGATATTAGCGGCTCCTTCTTCCCAAGCTTTGATTTTGCTTTTGTTCCAGGTCCCATTGTGTCTCTGCTGTCTTTGCTTTGAAAGTTATTTTTGGACCGTGACTTCAGCAGCCTCTCCTGCTCTCCTTCTCCTTGCTAGCATGGACTTCAGTGTGCAAAGGCCTTCCATGTACCGGAGCAGTCCGCTCCTTCCCCGTGACCTGTGGGCAGTCACAGGCTTCAAAGGCACAACTCTGAACACCTGGCCTCAGTGTGTCACCTCTGAATGTAACAGAACAAGTAATCAAGGCCTTGAGCAGGCTGGGTTGGTATCTGTTAGTCATTTACCTGGTAGGGAATGCAGGATCATACACAAAATTGAGCAGCTCATGAGGGTATCCAATGGAAACTAATCTTTCTACGGTCAGGTCAAATCCAAGAGATTCGTATTCAGGGGATTTATACACTGTACCAAGATGAGATTTCAGTTAGAAAATTTGCACACAGCTAGGGGGTTAAACAAGAAGGCAGTTACAAGTCACGTTCCCATTCGCCCTCCTCCCTCCTCCATGTTACACAGATGCACAAATGCTCCCTCTTCCACCTGCTCAGATCGGGTTTGGTTTGCTGTGATTTCACAAAGCTGGTGAAGAAACCAATACATTTTGGGAACACATGTATTTGTGGTTAGAAAGCCTGAAATTCATTGCTGCTGTGCTACTGGATACAATCCCAAAGCTTAGCACTGTCTTCAGATTTCATCTCAAGGGAATTTATGTTTGCTGCAGACTAAGTTAGCTTGAAGGTAGAGCTGACAACTTAACATACGGTTTGTTTGTTAATAATACCATATGGTACTGTACAAATCTGTTAGCTATTACTCTTGTACCAAAATGCTACTCTTCTAGGCAAACTTGCTGCTCCCACATTTCCTACGAGCTGCTCATCTGTGACACACACCTTAGCTCAATGCAAAATGAATGACTAGTTCAACCAAGTCATTCCTACCTTCAGAACTGTCTTCTTCCTGCAAATGACCTTCCCATGCACTGGAAATGTTACTATTTAATTAGATCGTTAAATGACCATTTAGAAGGAAATTGCTGTGTCTCTGTGACAGATGGAAATCACTGTGTTTCTGTGACAGTGTGTTGACATTTGTTTCATGATACTGTCTTAAATTGGGTCTGAGATATAATGAGGTCAAATATAAGCCTTTTCTTCAACGAGGCCTACTGGGGTTCCAATGGGTCCAGCTGTATCTTGGATTCTTGAGTATGTTGTATTTTACTCAGCTAAGTCTGAAAACATGTAAGTAAGCTCTTTAGAAGACAGACTGCTTTTCCTGAGAGGTAGCTCACACATCTGTGGGCATCACAATGCCTATTAATGCCATTGTCTATACTGCCCAGGTAATCACCACCGTATGTATACTGTGGAATACAGAAGCTCAATCTGAAAGGAGAAAACAAATGCATAAAATACTACAAAAATACTGAAAAGCTAAGAACTATCAAAGAAATAAGGCTCACAGTAACCATATGAAAGGGGTCCCATATCTATTAACAATCCAGAAGTATTCTAAAAGTTCATTTTTCTCATTAAATTCAACACCATTCAAATGCAAAAAGCGAACCAGCAATGTTCTTGAACAGATAACCAAAGCCAAACAATTACCAAGATCTTCAAGCATCATTAGACCAGTGGCAAACATCGTATATCAATAACAAGATATAACATTCAGTGCACGTAGCCTTTTCTGTCCTTTAGGAAAGGAAGGGTTGATTGAGCTACAGATAGGAATAAGCAATCAAAAACTACAGCTAATGAAGGAAGCAGTGACTGACAAGGCAATCCTGGGGAGTGAGCTAGAGTTGGAGGGAGCAAAAGGCAGTTAGGTGATGAACGTTGTGAGAGTGACACCAGAGCATATCTGGAAAAAGGAACTCCTTTGATGCAGGACAGTAGAGATACCTCCCAGGGAAAACAGTGATAAATACACCTGCACGTACTCTCAGAGGGCGAGAGCACGGCAAAGATCCCCATGATGTGAAGCAGCCTTTATTCCCCACTCTGTCCATGCAGCTCACATTACCAATTTATCCATAAGCCATCACTTCCCAAGAAAACATCTCTGCCAGAAATCCCTGCCCCTTCTGAACTCACCAACCGCCGTGGCACGGCCCAGACATAACAGAGCTCAAGGAGCATGCTGGCACCTCCTCTGGACAAACAGAGGTGGTTTGTGAGCTTCTCCAGCAGAATCCTTCCAGGCAAACCACAGGGCTTTCAATCACACAGCCTGTGCATCTGCTCAGTGAACGGCTGACGTGTGGCTGATTGCTTATACCCTCACTCAGCTTCTTTCCTTCTGTATTTCTCTTTCCATCACATTTATCACTGCAAACTTCCACTGAATTCTCTGAGTCTATGAAAATGAGCTGACACACCAGCAGGAAAAAGGCTGCAGAACAGGTTCCATCATTCCAAGTCTCTGCTCAGACAGTACTACAACACGGCTAATCCAAATTTTAATTTCTGTGCAAAGTAATTATTCCCCTTTACCTCTCAAGCTACAAATAGTGCCTCCCTGATTCCTCTTTGAATAAAAGTAACCTACCAGCTCATCCATACCTCATGTCCCTTCCCTATTCTTCTACCATTCCACCATACCTGGAAAATGAGAGCCTTCTTGTTGATACACAAACTACATGGGGACACTGAGCTCCTGCGGATGGGAAAGGGACAACAAGCGCTCCCCAGTTACCATGATACCGTCCAAGATAAACTTTCCTTTAACTACACGCAACTGGGAACAGACTGAGAGATGACTGAGCCCACCTGGACTGCACCACAGCACTACACCGCAGCCCGCGCTGCATCAGCCGGTACCAACCTCAGCCCACGCTTCTTGTAAGCTTTGTGAACACCTGTTAAAGCAACGTGAGCTTTCAGGCAAACAAGCAATTCATCTCCTTGAGACCAACATGAATAGGCTAAGAGTACTGCAATGACAGCAGCACATCTGGGGATGATGCACCCGCCACATGCGTTAAGAGACTGCTTAGCCTAGATAAAAAAATGTATTTTAGTATTGTACTCAGTGCTGGCCCCTCTTTCTCATCTTATCTTCAGGCATCCAAGGAGATAAAGAGAGGGCACAGTAGTATTTTCTTCTGCAGTTGGATGATGAAAAAAGTAGCTTAAATCTTCCCGGAAGCTTAAACCTCCCCAGTCCTGAGCCGAAACACAATGGGAAGAAACCCACAGGATGTGGTGCTGCACGAAGTGGGCAGTTTGTCATGCAGTGAATCCTGTGCTCAGCTCTCACCCCTCTCAACAGCCCCATCCCAATGAAAGTGAAGCAGAACCACCACACCGCATCCCCCAGTGCCCTCACCAGCCCGAAGCACACAGGGGGAGAGAACAATCGAAGCATGTGTTTCAACTCACCCCAACCTCCCTTCTGCCTTTTCACTGCTCAATGGCTGCATCTCTGCCACCGTGCCAAGTCCTCTCCTCCAGTGGAAAAGTTATTAAAATCATTTGAGCTTGAATACAGACAGATGCTCCGATGGCTCAGGGTGATGGACACCCCGTGCTTGTGCATTATGTAATTGGGCTTGAGAGAAAACAACCAAATCTTTAAAAAAACTGCAGCCAGCTGACAGCATTTCAGCTTCTCCTTCACACCGCCACTTGCCTTAAAATGACACTAGTGAAAGTTAAAAGCAGGACCCCGGGAGTGAACGCTGCAAGCCTCCGATCTGTGAGGAGTGTTAGGAGGGAGCCGAGCTGGAAGGAGCGGGGTTGTGCAATAAGGTATGCCATTCTCATGCATTTTTGTGGTTGTTTTTACCTTTGCTGCCAAGACACATACAGTAACAATTTTATAGCCCTCCTGAAAAGGAAAAAAAAAAAAAAAAGAAAAAAAAAAGAAAAGGAAAAAAAAAAGATTTCTACAGAGGCTCCAGCTTATGCAAAATGCTGCTGCCAGGATTTTAACTCACATGAGGCAGATGCAGATTCAGAGTGTCACTCCAGTCTTGACGGAGTTACACTGGGCTCCCCTGTTAAAGAAAAAAATCAGACTGATTTTAAAACTGCAACAGCTCTGTGCCACGTGGGACGGTGTCGCTGGAGCTGTGTCCTCGAGTAAGCTCGGCAGCCGACCTGGCAGCTATTCCAAATGCACTTACAGCTGATTTATAGAGGAGGCACAGTTGGTAATCGTGCATCCTCCAGGCAAAATTCTGTCCTCATACCCACAAAGCAGCCTTAGATCATCAGCTCAGTGGTAATTAGAAGGATGAGGCTACACGTGCATTGCCCAAGTGACATAAACCCTTCAGGTTTCTCTTGGACATGGAGCAAGTGACTCAAGAAAGGGTCTTGTGCTCTTTTGGGGGCTTTGCCATTATTGCCCATCCCTCAATTGGTGACAGAATGCTGCTGTCAGGGCGCTCCACTTCTTTCACAGCATGAAACACCTGCACATGTCAGTGCAGGAGACCCGGGAGACTGAGTCAGGAGCTACTCTGGGAACCTGAGAAGAGAATTTTGCCCTCCCAGCAAGAGCCTCAAACATGGAGTCGGTCTGATGCAGCACATCCAAATTCAATCGTGCCCTTTAACACTTATGTTTACATTTGAGCTTCTAAGTGTAAAGCATTGAGGAATGAACCAGTATCAATCCTGCATACTGCTGCAACCTACTGCAGTGCTCTGGTTCGCAAGCACACACAGGAAGAAGACCTCTTTGTAACTTACAGGTATGCATGGAGTAATCAGAAATAGCTTTTGAGATCAAATTGGCACTAAATGCAAAGCTGGGCAAGTTGGAACGACGTTGCAAAAAGGACCCACAGAAGTATGCACACCTCTTGGAAGGCTGCTCTGAAGATAAGTGTTTAAAGCTTGTAGCTGAGGGAGGTGGCAGCGTTTCTAATGGCTCAGTTTAAGCTGTGGAGAGAAGAAAGCCTTTAAGGGCTGCCCATTTCTTTCCTTGATCCTCCTCCCCACATACACATTTTCAATTCACAGGCAGGGCAGCTTCTCACGGTTCCTTGAAGTGTCACCCCTTCGTCCCCTCAGCCAGCCCCTCCAGGCTGAGAGCCTCAAACAGCCCCAGCTGCCCCCTGCATATAGTGCCCAACCTGCCTGCCCCAACACCTGAACACATTCTGGCTCAAATGCAGGTGCTGAGAGCACTGTCCATGTGGGCTTTTCGTCCTTGGCCCTGGTGGCTGAGATTTGGGATTTGAAACACTTTAGCCTTCCCTCACATCTTTGCCTGGCAGATAGAAACTACAAGACTTCCTAATTTCAGGTGTTCAGATAAGCATTTCTCAAACTACAGGTGATGACCTCCTCTGATGGCTTGCAAGAAGCTTAAGGAACACTCAATCTTCAGAAATTCTACCCGCTATCCAGGTTCTCTGGAGATGACAAGATAAGTCAAAAAGC